AGAGATGGGTCTGGTTATATCTATAAAAAAGAAAGCCCTGCAATAATACGATTTCCCTCATTTAATGCTGATCAAAGCAGGGAAAATTATTTTCGTGCATTGGTAATGTTATATATGCCTTGGAGAAATGAAAAGGAGGATATTTTGGACAAAGATAACGAAGAAACTTGCAGAGTTCTTAAGGATGTTATCGAAAGAAATCGCTCAGTTTTTGAAAAATATAAAGAAGGAGAGCTCGAAGAAATTCTTCAGCAAATTCATAATGAAAACAGAGTAGATGATGATAACCTGGAAGAGAATAGAGCTGTAACCCAACTGCTAGATGACGAATTTAGAGCCCTAGCTGTTCCTGAATTAGATGCAAATATAAATGTTATTGACATTAATGATGATTATATTAACGCTGATGAGAGCAATGATGGCGTTCGACTAATAAGACTCCAACCTTTAATAAGTACTGATAGTCTATTGTCTTCTGTACGGACATTAAATACAAAGCAACGTAAATATCTACATCATGTATTACTAAATGTTGTACAGAACGTAAAGTTTTGTGAGTATGTCGGAGGTGGAGCTGGTGTTGGAAAGAGTAGATTGATAAAAACTATTTACCAATCAATTTCTAATAGATTTAACTCTATTCCCGGCTCTAATCCTGATTTACCCAAAGTAATATTAAGTGCTCCTACTGGGAAAGCTGCTTTTGGAATTGGTGGAGCGACTCTTCATTCGTTATTTTCGTTGCCAGTTAACCAGTACTCAGGAGAAATCCGTCCACTTAGTAATGATACAGTTAATTCGCTCTCATCATTACTTTTGGATTTGAAATTATTGATTATTGATGAAATTTCAATGGTTGGAGCAAGAATGTTGGGATACCTTGATGCTCGATTAAAGCAAATTTTCAAAAGCACAGAGCGATTTGGTGGAATTTCCATTTTAGTTTTTGGAGATTTAAAACAACTACCACCTGTTGGGGACAAATGGATATTCAGCTCGAACTCCTCAAATCCTTATGGAGTTATTGCAGGAAATTTGCTTTGGAATCAGTTTAAATTTTATGAATTGACTGAAATAATGAGGCAAAGGGAAGACCGAAAGTTTGCAGAAGCATTAAATTCAATGTCGAAAGGAGAAATGAGTGACGAAGAAATTCGTTTTATACAGTCAAGAGTTGTTGATTCTGATTTCAGTTTTCCAAGTGACGCGATTCACTTATTTTGGTCAAACGCTGAAGCTGACCAATACAACGAATTAAAATTGGGACAAATTCTTAAAGAGGAATTTAAATCAAGAGCATTTGATTTAATTAAAACGGAGTCTTTATCATCGGAAGAAAGATCACGTATTAGAAACGTGGTAAACAAAATGAAAACTTCGGAAACACAAGGATTGTGTACAGAGCTGAAATTGAAATGTTCAGCAAAATACATGATGACCATTAATATTAATACAAGCGATGGTCTAGTCAATGGAGCTACTGGCATCCTAATGGAAATAGAATTTCATAAAGAAACAAACAAACCCATTACACTTTGGATGCTTTTTTCCGATGAAAGTGTAGGTAGAGAAGCAAGAAGAATAAAACCTCACCCGGCTGAACCACTTTGGACTCCTGTTGAAAAATGCGTTCGATGCTTCCAATTCAGGCGCAATGAACAAATCTCTATTGAGCGAAAACAATTTCCATTGGTTTTAGCCGAAGGAATAACTATTCATAAAAGTCAAGGTGCAACATATTCAAAAGTGGTCGTTCATACTCGTAACCGAATGAGTAGGGCTGCGTTGTATGTAGCATGTAGTAGAGCTACCAGTATTTCAGGATTATATATTGCAGGGAATTTCATACCTCCGAAACCATTTGAAATAACTGATCCAGTCAAAATTGAGTTAGAAAGACTGCAATTACAACAAGCACTAACACTCCATCATAGCTTTGTTCATGATGATGAATATAATGTTAAATTGTTTTATCAAAATGTTCAGAGTTTAAATGCGCACCATAAGGATATTTCTACTGATCCCACTATAATGGATGCAGACATTTTATGTTTAGTAGAAACTTGGGCATTTCCGGAAGAAATTCAATCGTTTGAAGGATATTCATTGCTAAGCAAATTAGACTGTTTTAATGCTGAACATGAAGAGAGATCCAGAAATAAGAAAGGAATATCAGTTTATGTAAAAACTGATAAAATCTCGAATATAAACTTATTGTTTAAAGTAGATCATGTTCTTGGGTACTCATTTCAATACATAGCCTTCCGGTATCACAACATTTACGTCATTAATTTATATAGAAGCCCCTCGTTTGCTGAAGGCCTCTTTAGATCATTCTTAAAGCAAGCTATCGATGAATTACAGACACATATTAGATCTGAAATTGAAAGAATCCTTATTATAGGAGATTTTAATATATGTCGCAAAACACATCCTGATAATACTACTGAGAGAATATTGACAGAAAGAGGACTTGTATCCCACCTACATCCGACAGCTTCAACTACAAAACATGGTACACAAATTGACTGGGTTTTTTCAAATATACCATTGAACCATGTAAATGCAAAAATTTATCCGACAATTCATAGCCATCATGATGGTATATTAGTAGCCACGTAGTAATGTATATACTATCCCATTACAATTTTACTAGTTTTTAGATTTAAGTGTAAATTAAGTTTAATTAAGGAATTTATGCAAATGTAACTTATTAATAATAGTTTATTATCTAGATTAAGTTAAGCTAATATTTATACCCATTCTTTATTATTACAGACTTTGAATATGCGAAATATCATATTTACCCTCCTATGGAATAAGCCGTGACGTGGCGGGAGGGCTTCAGTACTTCTTAAATTTTTTTAATAAAACTTAGAAGGAAACTAATTATTCCGCGATACAATTGTCGATTGTTAGCAAAAGTCGTAAAAAACATATATAGCATGACAAATTATGAACCGAGCCAGAAATGATTTTCTTTATATGAATTCTATTGATACGAAAATTATATTTGTGAAATTTTGAAACGATTGCGACATTCCGTATATTAGAATAAATAAATGTTCCCCGAATACATACATTTGAATGGGATCTATAAGAAATTGTGAACCGATTCCGCTACTTTTCAACAGAAGTAAAGTTTTTACAGAGAAACAAAATTGTGATAAATTGTATCGAATTATAATGCACAGTTTTGTGAAAATTGCATAAAAATATGTTAAAAAGCTCAATTTTTCCGAAGTTTTTTTTTTTAAATTTTGATTCATAACTTTACCTATGTGAACCGATATTGCTCATTTTGAATACCAATCAACAAAGATCATTTAGGGTGAATTTGGATAAATTCTATTGTTTCTTTTCATCGTGGTCATGTTTTACACAGGCAGACGGATATATATATAAATTGATTAGGAATATCATAAGGACCACAGATATATATACTTTGTTGTGTCTCAGATGAATATTTCACAATGTTAGACATGGAATGACAAACTTATATATACCCTCTATTACCAGTAATGATGTTAGGTATTAAAATAAAAGTAGCTGGTGGAGGGTATTTAAGATTCGGCTCAGCCGAATATAGCAATCTAACTTGTTTCTACTATTTTAATTTCAATTATTTCAATAAAAACTATAAAATTTCATTTTATTTAGATTTATTTTTATAGATTTTATTTTGGTGAGTATACAAATAGAAGAAGAGAAAACTCATCTTCTAGAAGACGAGAATACTCATCCTCTAGAAGACGAGAATACTCATCTTCTAGAAGAAGAGAAAACTCATCTACTAGAAGATAAGATAGGAACACTTCTAGATGATACTAGGTAGTCACTTCAAGAAGTGACTTCCTAGTCACATCTAGAAGAGTCTTTGGCAATACCTTACTTCCAAGAGTCATCTAGAAGTTTCTTCTGCGGGTCTTCCAGAAGTATCTTCCACGTTACTCTTAGACGTTCCCCAGCTCGGCATCAGTTCTTCCCGACTGGTGACAAGAATTCTTATACTTCCGCAACATCGCTGGCGAGCTTTTAACACGTTTGGAAGTTTCATACGGGTAACTTCCGCAATAGAAAATGTTTGTAGGGAATATTCTTTATAGAGCATATTTGTATGGTGGAATAATCCATATGATGCCACTAATAAGTGAAAAATAAACAATAACGCTTAAAATGTGTCTATTGCCATAAATTTTTCTTTCTGATGTTCACTATACAGATGTTCGCTGATGGTTGGTCTTACGTGTTCGCTGATGGTTGGCCTTACGTGTTGCGAAAACCTAATGGGAAGCACCTATCAACACATAAAAACAACAGTGAAGCAAGGCACAGTATGGGTACTGGTTTGGGGGTCTATTTCGGGAAATGGAACTAGGTCATCACATTTTATACAATATTTTATTGACCGGCAGCTTTAGGTATTTGGATATTTTGTAGACTAAATTGCCCTTCTGGAAGTAAAAGCCTAACACTTCTAGTAAAAAATCCCTACAGTTCCTTAAAACCAGTGTTAAGGCGAGTTCTTACAGAGGAATGTTAAAAATGTTAACCAATCTTTTGCAGGATCTTAGTGGAAAGCATGCCTAATAGGTTAGAGATTGTTATCAAATCCTAATGTCTTCATATAAAGTACTAATTGTAAGTTTTTAATATATATTTTAAAATGTACGAGTTTGTTAAACAACCGTTAATTCTTTGCCATTATATTTGAATTTTGTCAATCACGGCTGTTATGGAATCTGATTGCTCTCGGAATCAGATTTGAAACCGACCAAAAATTGATTTTGGTATCATAGAAACCAATGTTATTGGTTTCATATTCGAATCAGAATTGTAATCAGAATTTGATGTCATCGAATCTGATGTTATCGTTTTTTTGTCAGAAATAATCCGATCAGCTGACTGCTTACAGATTTGCAGTTTTCTTTTATTTTTTGTTTTGTTAGTTTGTGGAATGTTGTTGGAAAATGTAAGTTAAATAAATAAAAATTTAATAATTTATAAATATTCAATTATTTTTGGCACAAATAGGGGCAAACATAGAAATGCAACACAGAATGCATTATTTTTAGAGTTCATGGAGAAGAACCCAGATATAGCAAAAGGTTTCACAAAACGCGATAAAGTTTTAGTGGATTCTCTTTGGCAGGAATTGACGGTTTCTCTAAACGGCGCTGGTCCGCCGAATAAGGATGTTAATGGGTGGAAAAAGGTAAACTATTTGTTTAAAGTTCATTAATTTGGCCACAAATATGGTATTCGTATTTACACACAGATATGGACAGAATGGAAAAGCGAGATTAAAAAAAAACTTGCTCACAACAAGGCCGAGGCCCGAGCAACCGGCGGTGGACCGTTTTCAAAATACCAACTGACACAAACAGAAGAAACAATAGTGCGATTGTGTGGAATCCAAACGACAGTGGAGGGTGTTTTAGGAATAGAATTGGGCCTCATAGAGGTGATAGAGGAATCAAATGTTGCCGTAAATGATGATATGCCTACAGGCTCATCTAGGATAAGACCTGAAACACCTTACATGTGTAGTACACCAAAAAGAATACGAACAGAAACCACAGCAGACCGTTTAAAAAAATTTCTGGATGAAGATGGTGAAAAGAAAAGAGAAATAAACGAAAAACTCGACCAACTTATTGCTGTAGAAAAAGAAAATGCCAGTGCCCTTAGACGTATTTATCGCGCAATTGAAAAAAACAACGAGTCTGTGACCAAGAGTGTTAATGATTTTAAAAATGAATTTGCAATTACCAGTTCCCGAATTCTTAAGGCAATGCAGGAAAAAAATGAAATAAAAAAACAACAATTGCAACTAGAACTTATGAAATTTGAATTACAAAATAAAAGTAAAGCTCAGTGATCTCTTTTATTAAAACCTAAATACGTGACCTCAAGTCCAAAGGACAAAAAGAAGTACAAATGAATTAATTTTTTTTAATAATTACATTTAATTAATTTTAAAATACTGAATTTAATAAAATATAAATAAATTATTTTATTTATAATGTATTTGCTATTTCGTCTCTTATTTTCTTGCCTTCATTTTGCAGATTCGACGTAGAGAACAATAAAGAATTATCTTGTTCAAGATCGTCTGGTGCAACAGCTATTTCTTCAGCTTCATATGAAATTTTGTAGCTCCTGCATATATTGTGCAACGCGCAGCATACGTTCACTATTTGTACTACTTTTTCTGGGCTGTAATGTAATGTACCAAGCAAACAGCGAAATCGGCTTTTTAATACGCCTATAGTTCGCTCCACAATATTGCGAGCTGAGGTGTGTGCTATATTAAATTTATGTTCTTTTGTGTTGTATGCAGGATCTCTATAAGGTGTTAACAAAAATGGTTCAATTCCATACCCGCAATCTCCTAATAATCTAGTCGTTCGATCTCCACTTTCGTACTCTCTTAGGAAATGCTGACGTGCGTTGCTCATATTCCACACAAATGAGTCATGACTTGCGCCGGGATACCGTGCGCTAACTGCTCGTATCATCATGTCACCGTCACATATCTTCCAAACAAAAATGATTGCCAATAATGACAAATTATTGTTTCATATGTTACTACACAGAGAGAACAAATTCATTGTAAAAAATAGATTTTTTGCAAACTTTAATTGGGCCAACTAAATTTTTGGGTTGGAACATTATCGGCCACCATAATCATCAGTTGGATAAAATTTAGTTTTGGCAATGAATTTTTTCTCTCTGTGAATTTTTTACTCACGATCATGGCATTCATACTGAAATATCCCTTCCTATTAAAATATAACTGCTCATCAATCGTGGGTTTTATAATTTTAATGTGAGTTCCATCGATGCAACCAACAATGGAAGGTATTTTGTTTTTGTTAAAGAAATAATTTCTTGATCTACGTTTTTCACTTTCATCCATCCTTAGTTTTATCCACTGAGGACTTACATATTTTAGCAGAACTTTCAGTACACGACTTAATACAACTGATACAGTACTTCTGCCTAGACTTATGGTGGAATCGTTTCCAACTGACCTTTGGTAAGACCCTTCTGCTAAAAATCGCAATGTTGCAGCCAGTTGAATCACGCAGGGAATGGTTGATGGTAACAAATGTTCTTTTACAATGTCCAACACCATTACGAACGCTTCTTTATTCAGACGGTATTGTCCAATGAATCTGCAAACCACTAAAGTGTTAAAACCACTTCCCGGCCAAATCAAAATCTCTACTTACACAGATTCTGGCAGTTCCAATGGATTGCTGTGATCCCTTAAAATTTTCCGATTAATTCGTTGACAACTTTCTTCCTCCATCAATAAAAATGCAACTACTGCCTCAACCATTTCAATTTTTTTGTATAAATTATTTAAAAAAAATTTATAATACGTCAACTTCTAAAATTTAACTAAACTAAAAAATGTAAACAAAAGAAAACAGCTGATTCGAATATGGGTTTTGTTTATTTTCGAAAGTAGGCAAAATCAAGACGATTTCATGACACCTATTCAAATCGGAATTGATTTTAATTTCTGATAAATTACCAATTCTGACTTGGATTCCATAACAGCCGTGAATATGTTATTCATTTCCGATAGAGACTTGAGTCACTATTAGACCCACCAATTAACTTTATATGAAACTGTTAAAAGTATGCTGCAAAGAAGATTAATATAGGAAAAAACTTTGTCTTTTAACCACTGTATGTATTTCATTACGCTTGAAAATGCATCACTGGCAAGCATCTGATGCGCGGACAGAAGACTCATTTAAAAATGTATAAATGAAAATAAATTTTATTAAATGAACACTGCATCAGCTTTATTTATGATCTTATATTACTGTTATAATGCATTTCCGAAAGTACTGCGCATAAGATACATTTTCGAAAAGGTTCAATATCAACAAGTAACATTCTCTATAGAATTTAGTGTCATAGGGTAAAACTATTAGGGTGATCGACTCGGGTTTTCAACCGGGTTTAAAACCGAATATAAAAAATTTCTCTAATAAAATGTTTCCCTGTCCATTTTTGTATATATAAGTATAAAAAATTATTTTCTGTCAATTCTTTTAATAGGGGAATTTGTCCAAAATATGTTCAATGAGTTCGAATAAAATAAAATTTCCCGTTTTTCCTCTTTTCGGTACTTCTTCCCCAGTAAAATAGCAAAAATTTAGTTTCAAAAAATATTACAGAGTTAGTCCGTAATTTAATAGGAATACTTCAATAAATCGAAAAAGTTTTCTTGATGTGATAAAAAAAGTACCAAAAATACAGTTTTCTCCCTTTTACACCCAAAAAGAACTGAATTTTAAAGAAGTACGAAACAGGTGTCTCCTAATTTTGGGAGATATATGCAAAATATTAAAAAAAAAATATTTTGTTTATTAGTTAAAAAGTTATAAAGGGTCTAAAAATGTACCAAAATCACCTTTGTTACACATTTTCACCCCTTAAAAGTACGAATTTCAAAAAAGTACCAGACACCCCTCTGCTTATTTTAAGAGTAGATACAGACCTGGTCCACACTAGGAAACTTTTGTTGAGAAACTTTTTCTTAATTCTCTTTTGAAGTTTCCCTAATGTCCACACATGAAAGATTTTGTTTCAGAAACTACGTATTAATTGCATTGATTTGTTGTTGTACGAATGAGAAGAATAACAAAACAAAACAAGTTTCCGAGTACGAGAAACTCTGTACCGCGAGAGAGATGAATGATATTCTTTCTCTTTCTCTCTCACGCAAAATCAAAAGTTTCCCAAAAAAAGTTTCCTAGTGTGGACCGGCAGATACTAGCATATGCATATTGCAGTTTTCCTGATTGCGCTAAAACACATTTAGAAGGTTTATACCTTTGTTACTGCAATTTTATCTCGCCACACATTGAAAGACATAAAACATTTATTTGAAATGCTTAAATCGTATTCTAATGTTCATAAATTGAAATGGTATTTTTTCAAAAATGTTGAACAGATATAAGCCTCCCACTTTACGGAGGAATTCTTGAAAGTTACTACGAACAAAATTATTCCGAATATCTTAAGTGTTGCTATGATTACTTAGAAAATGCAAAAGTTATGGTGACCTAATGATGTTAAGCCCATTATATACATATTATGTCAAATGATCTTAATAAAAGATTGGGCAAGAATAATTTTCTCTGATACTGAAGACGAAAATACAAAAAAATATAAAGGTGAAGATGATGATGAGAAAGCTTATGCAATTTTCTTTAAGGGCTTTATAGTCGCCAAATGAAATGCAAGTGGGATATCTATTTTTTAACTCAAGAATAAAACTGGAGGTCCACACTACGATTCATCGTGCCAAAGCATTTTGTGCTTTTCATACCTTCTTTGCATCCTACGCATCAAGTTACATGCAACGCTTGCTTTATTTATAAAGAACTTTGCGTTTTTTAAAGTTTTTTTATTTATATTTTCAAAATTTAATTCGTTTAAGTTTATTAAGATTGATAAATACACATTTAAAATGGAATATATATTGTCAAAATCAGTTGACATGTTCGTGCGCCGCTTATGATGCTTATAAAAGTAGAAAATTTTCAAAAATCCCTCCTTATCTACTGTCATTGATTATATGATTCTTGGTTTAGTCGTTTGGGCTGTGCGATGATGAATCAGTCAGTCAGTAACGCTTCTCTTTTATATATATACAGATTAAGGTAAAAATCTCAACTGTCACATGGTTTAAATTTGCACCAAAGTTAGTACTATTTGATAGTGGGGTAGACAAATATTTTCAGCTCTATCGCTTAAGAACTGCCGGAGTTAGAGATTTCTTTCAAATGAGTGGAACTTGTCACCTATTGGCCTTAGCAAACATTTTATAAACGACTTTAGAAAGATATTTCTTCAATATTTTTGGTTTTTTAAAATGGGTCTTTTTTGCTGAAAAGAAAGCTTATACATTTCCTTTAAGGGCTTTATACTCTCTTAATAGTATGCGAGTGGAATATCTATCAAAAAAATTGTTTAACTCAAAATAAGATTTTTTTAACATTAGACACATGTACCATTTTAATTTTTTTGTGTATTACTTAAAAATGAATGTGTTTTTTTTGCTGAAAAGAAAGCTTGTTAGACCATTTCCTTTAAGAGCTTTGTGGTTACTTAGTGGGATGCAAAGGTCTTATCTATAAAAAATATACTAACTCAAAAACGTTGCTTTTTGTGTTAAAATATTTTTTTAATACATATAAGCCCCTTGCACCCCACTAAGTAACCACAAAGCTCTAAAAAGAAATAGTCTATTCAATTTTATTTTGAGCAAGAAAAAATAGTCTATTCCGAAAAATTGGGAAAAATTAAAATTGGTACTTGTGCCAAATATTGAAAAAATCATAAGCTGGAGGTCGTCAAAAAAGTAGAATCAATGTTGTTGTGTGCTTCAAGTTATAAGCACAAAAGCGTAGAATGCCTTGACGCGTAGAATGCCTTGACGCGTAGAATGCTTAAAGTAGATTTACTTTCTACTTTTATAAGCGGCGCACGAACATGTCAGCTGATTTTGACAATTTATATTCTATTTTAAATGTGTATTTATCAATATTAATAAAACTTAAACGAGTTAAATTTTAAAAATATAAATAAAAAAACGCCAAATTATTTATAAATAAAGCAAAAAATTTACGCTTAAGAAGCGTTGCATGTAACTTGATGCGAAGCGTAGGATGCAAAGAAGGTATGAAAAGCACGAAATGCTTTGAAGCGAAGACGCGTAGTGTCCCACCACTCGCATTTCATTAGGCGACTATAAAGCCCTTAAAGAAAATTGTATAAGCTTTCTCATCATCATCTTCACCTTTATATTTTTTGTATTTTCGTCTTCAGTATCAGAGCAAATATCTAATATTGCAGATGTTATCTTTCTTGGGGTGTAATATGTGCTTG